ACAGTGTTTGCATATGTTTGTGTGTATCTCATAGATCAGTGTTTCTCAACCAGGGGTCCCTGGACCCCTAGTGGTCCTTGACGTAAGGCCAGGGGGTCCGTATAAATTATGAATTTTTGTATAAATGTTGTATATTTTGACAAAGAGAAAGATGATATGGCCAAATACTGGACAAGTCAGCTAACTTGCATTATACTTGACTGTATTTGGTCCTCGCAAAGACACAAATGATACATAGATGAGTACATTTTGTTCTGGGGGTCCTTGAGGATGGTTCTGAATTGGACTGGGGTCCGGTACGCCAAAAGGTTGAGATTCACTGTCATAGATAATGTGATACCAATGATAATTAGTGTGAATAAGATGCGATTGGGGTGCAATTGTTTCGAGTTGCTATTGAACAGTATGGCCAGAAATATACCTTTCCACAAGTATGCAGACGCAAATATTTGGTCAATGCATTTGCTTTGTTGAATATGTTTAGCGCGCGAGCAATTAACATGACAACTGTTTACTTGCTCCGCCATGACAGTAGTTGACCTGAAAGAATAAAAATGACTGTAGAAGACACAATGCAATGCAACAGATTTCAGCGTTGCTATAAATAGTGGTCTGACACATTTCAGCTAGAATCATTTACGTACTTGCACAGAGTATGTTGCGAGGTCAGTTTAAAACTTGTTAGGAATCTCTCACCTGTTTGATTCATTGGTGGAATGCGCTTTAGAATTTAGCTTCTTTGTCTTATCTTGCTCTGTAGCCCATGCAGCATATTGCAGGTCATGCTGGATTGTCAGACACAAACTTTTTTTTGTTTACTTCTTAAGATCTGTTTTTTCAAGGCAGAGCAAGAAAGCACAGTACAAATCACAACTCATTTACATTCAGTTTGGCAAGAAAACCCTCCACCCACCCCTTCCCTTCCAGGCCTAGAACCACCAGCAGCAAAGACCAAGAATACAAAATTTACTAAGAAAATTAAAGTGTTACAGAAGCCAGAGCAAAACTTGATGGATCTAAAGAGAGCTGCAGGCTGGTTTGAGTTGAACAACATGCAGTTGGAAACTCTGGAGTTGAAGACTTGTGTGTAGCAGGATCAACGTGCCATTTTCAGTTTGTGTCATAGCACTTCATGTAAATCATTTTACGAACATATGGATTTGATGATTGGCAGTTATAACTTTAACTCATCTCTCAGTTTGTAAAACAAACAAAAAAATGTGTATACAGTAATGCACTTACAATAAAAGTCTATAGACTGCAATAAATGTTAAAACCCATGATGCTTCCATTCTAAAACAACAAATCAATCTAAATATATGTTATCACAAAACTATTGTGATAAAACCGCTTACCTTGTCTGATCAAATTTAGATCTGAATTTTAGATCATGTAAACCAAAAATGACTTATAGTTCAAATAACACACTTTTATATTAATATACAAGACTTTAGACTAAAATGCACAAGAATAATATAAAATCAAGTTGTGAAAGCCTTTGCGCTCAAATGCATTTTCCTCAATCATCTCGTTAGAATGTGAGCTAAATTGGGTGGGTTCCTGTCCAATTCGGCAGTTTGGAATTTGATTGTGTGGGTAAAAATTGGTTTGTGTGTGTGGATAAAATTTGGGCTGGTTGGGGGTCAGTTTGCCGGTTTTGAAACATCTAAATTTTTATAGGCTAATTGGTTAACAAACAAAACCCAAGTGTGCATGTATTGCATCCAATCAGTCATCATGATGTTACTAAACACACACGCCCTCTGCAGAGTCGGCTGATGTTGATGTTGCCTTTTAGCCACTCAGTAGGGATCAGCAGACAGATGTGATGGTTCACGAGTGTAAGTTTTAAGTGCGATAAGGCAGGGGTTTTCAAACCTGTCCTGGAGGCCCCCCAGCTATATGTCTCCCTTATCAGACACACCCAATTCAGGTCTGGCAGTCTCTACTAAAGAGCTGATGAGTTGAATCAAATGTGTTAGATGAGTGAGACATACAAAATGTGCAGGGCAGGGGGGCCTCCAGGACAGATTTGAAAACCCCTGCTTAAAGGGATCAGATTTTGAATGTATAGCTGTATATTTAATTGATCACAATGCCAGAGTGGCCTAAATATAAGTTATATAGTAAAGAGTGGGAGAGTGACTCGACCCTCAAAACGTGAATTACACCTGTGGAGGGAGATGACGTGAAGGCTCTAATATCATTGTAACTCTGAAATCAGAGCACAGGTGAATAATTTAATCAAAATCTAAACTGAATATGGGACTATATGATCCTGTCCTGCATCAGGACATCTTATAAACTATCCAGACTGGTATATCCTTGAAAGCTGCTGGACTTGATTAGTTTCGACTGCGTAAAGTTATGTATTACCTTCTACAGTATGTACTTCACGAAAGGCTTCCTCTAGTTCTGTGTGAAGTTAAAGTGCGACACGAAGGTAAGCACATTATTGTTGTCGTTTATTTTTTATTGTCGGATTATCGTACAGTATGCATCAATGAGATGGTGTGTGCATGAATGAGTGTGAGATGCCTGCTAATTAAAATACCTGCTAGTTGCTTAATCCAATGTGTCACGAATCCGGTCTATAAACTTCCGTTCACTCACTACCAGAGGTCACCCGCTCTCCACATGGACTCTCACACTACACAGACTGTTACACATCACCCTGGACTACATTTCCCATGCTCCATTGAACTAATCACAAGCTCACCTGAAACCAATCACACACAGCTGCTACCAATAACATACACTATATAAATCAGTCTCAGACCACCATTCAATGTCGAGTATTGTATGCGCATATCGCTAGTCAGTGATAGCTACGTTATGGAGCCATTTCGTTAGCCATTGTTTATTTCCAAGTTCTAGTCTTAGTCTAGTTTTGCCTTGCCTGTTTTCCGGTCCTTTGACTATTGCTCGTGTTTACAGATTTCCCCTTTTGTCAAGCCCTCTGGATTACGTTCGCTGATCGATGACCCACGCCTGCCCTAGGAATACTCTTTGTCTTGCCTCATTCAAGTCTGTTTGCTGTTTATTGACCCATGCCTGTTTGTGACCACGCCTGTGAATAAAGCTCTGCACATGGATCCACTTCCTCTGTTCTCTCCATAACACAATGACTTATATTGGGTACTTTTTGTATTTAAATTGACTTATTCTGACTGTTGGCATTGAAAATGATTGATGTGTTTTTTAAAGGGTATCAGTCAATTTCTTGCTGTTTTGACATCGTGTCTGCCTGCATATTTTAGTCATATTTGGTCATTCTCATTATGTATTTGCCCTGATTTGATCCATTTTACTGGGAAATTGATCTATTTTTATATTATTTGTGTCACCATTATTTTGTTTCAAAGAGTTAAAAGTGGTCCTTATCAACCTTGATTGACATGGCAATAACATTCTATAACATTATTTTGACAGTTAAAGTTTTGGGCATTTTTTTTGTTGGAGTGGCTGGTTTTTGGTGAGCTCCAATCTGGCAACACTGGCCCTAATGGTTCATGCACGTGACGCAACACAGAGCAGGATTTTTAATTCGTAACAAAATGACTCGGTTCTTGAAGTAAGAAAGATACACGTAACAGCCTCAAGCTCGCTCTTGAATTAGCTGTTTGAATCAGACTTAGTTGGGAAATTGTTCAGAGCCGCTACTAAGTTCACAACTGACTCTCTCACTGAACCACAATTCAGTAGCCTAATACTGAAAAAACCAAAGCGGAGTAATATTTATGGCACACATTTAGTGACAACATTCAACTGAAAGACATTTTTACTAAATACAACTATTAAAAATCGTAGTCTATATAACTTAAATCGTTATAATCTTTATCCTGAAACACCCCTTCCTCAAAGCACATAATATTTACTGATATTAAATGCTAAAGTAGGAAGTTGTGAACTCCATGACTGAGGTGAATCTGAACAAGCATCACTATAATCTATAGCAGTTACTGTCACACTTTATTTTAAGGTCCAGTTCTCGCTATTAACAAACCATTAACTACGACTTTTACCTCAATAAACTGCTAATTGGCTGCTTATTAATAGTAAGTAAGGTATTTGTTATGTTTAGGTATTGGGTAGGATTAGGGATGTAGAATATGGTCATGCAGAATATGTGCTTTATAAATACTAATAAACAGCCAAAATGTTAATAATAGGCATGCTAATAAGTAACTAGTTAATAGTGAGAATTGCTCTTTATACTAAAGTGTTACCGCAATTACATAATTTGTTGACCAAAAAAGACAAAAAGACAATGTTTCATTTTAGAAGCCAGTGGCTCCTAGTCTATTATTTTGCCTGGAGCTTTAATATAAGTGATTTTTTTAGAGCTTTAAACCCTCTGGAATGCTCCATAGACCATACTCTAAGTGCGTTAATGTAGAAACTGAGGGAGTCAAATATACGCTGCCAATAGAGCTTAAGTCTTTTTGATCATTTCTCTAACAGCTCTTTTTTTGTTTGTTGTCTTTTTTCCTACAAACTGATTGTTTTTGCACTTTTTCAGTTCATTAAGAAGAGTCTGCTAAATTTGATTGTATATTAAAGCTTCACTTTCGAATGTCCTCTCACATCTATTCCACAGACCAAACAACTGATTGAACTTCACAGGAAAGAAAAAAACTAACAAATTATGGAATGAGTGCCTCGTTGACTTTGAAATCTACTGTAGTGCCAATTGACTGCAGTATGCACAACACAACTGCTATTGTCACTGCAAAACAAACAATAATTGGGAGCGACTGACTCTGGCGCACACTGCAATAAAGGTTGAGGGTGTTAATAACAGTAATAATAATCTAATAATAGGAAACACATGAAAACAATGCCCTCTCACCATAATGTTGCACAATTACAATTGCTAAAATACAAATACTGAATAAAAATAACAATAATAAAGCACAAACTGCAACAACAGCAAAAGGAGTAATAATAAGCAAATAAGATTTGAATGTCTCAACTCTTTGAAGCTATATACAATGTGACTATGCATATAAAATTGCATCGAAAAATCTGTCAAAATACAATGTCCCAAGCTTCAGTCAAACAAACCACCAGACACCCATTATCGTCATTAAAGAGAAAAGAAAAATACAGAAGAAAGTAGAACGCGTAGTCTGAGGAAGAGAAGTGGCTGGTCTCATTCTTCGACAGATCTGTGCTTTTATCCACTTCAGATACTTCTTTGAAAGCTCATCAAAGTCCTCAGAACTAAAACCGCCATGTCAGTGAATTCCGAGCAAGCTTTTTGAAGCAGTTTGCTTGGATGGCTGCAATTTGTTGTCCTTTACTCGTAAATGGAGGTTGTAGAGGAAAAATTGTTTTTGGAAAATCAGCCACTAGCTAAGATGAGGCATGGGGCTTTAGCGTTAGGGAGTAGGAACGGGGGGCAGGTTGGTCACTGGAAACCTACAGGACTGTCCATTAGAGGGCTCGGGCAGCTGGGATCTGGGTCATGCTGGAGTTCAGTTTCCAAAGTTTCCTGCAGATCCTTCTCCTCCACCTCTTCAGCGTCATGCACTGAACTCTGGCTGTTCCCCATAGTGCCATAGCTCTGGTGGGCCGGAGAGGGCATGGGAGTCAGGCCCAGCTCTGGCTCCAGCAAGACGGAGGCTATAAAAAGCTGAGGAGGGAAAGAACGAGAGGTAAATAAAAAATGTTGTTTATGTAGCATGTGAAGTGTCTTTGACACTGTGAGTGGAAGCCTGAGAGGAGAGAGACTAATTAATTTCATAAGGGGGACTTGAAAAGATAGTGTGATGAATGAAATGAGATGTGACTGGATGAGCAGGTACATTAGCTGTGGTTGTGGTGGAAACGGTGCTTCTTTCCGCATCAGTGAAGCCTCCTTCTGTCGTCTGATCGGACATCTGCAACAAAACAAAATAGCAATCAGTTTTTACTGCCTGAAGATATTATTTTCCTATCTTTGAGAGCTTATTTTCAAAGCCCATCTAAACTAATTTCATCTCAGTGTTTTCAAGGCTGCACTGTTGACAAGGATCTAGTTGTTAAGGTAACAATCCCGAAGGGGAAAAACAGACAGGCAGGCTCAACTGCACTCCATGCAGACATAACACACACAATGAGAAATGACGGATCAGCACAGGATGACAGACACCAGGAGAATAAATAGAAACCAAACGAGGAGGCTAACGAGGGAGACACAGGTGGAGCAACTTAAACTATAACGAGGTAACAAGATGGGAGGGGCAAGACAATAGACAGGAGAGAGCACATGGCAACAGACAAACACAACACAAGCCATGTGCTCACAGAACACAGTCATCTGGTGGCCCTCCTGGGCACACCCGCTGAAGACTGTGACACATTCAAGGTATATATTTGATTAATTTTTTTAATTAATGCACTCCCTGGGAGTCAAACTCTGGGTGACCCTGGGTGATACATCTTTATGAATGGGTCGTTGAATCATTTACTCAACCAATTCATTTAAAAATGCAGATTCATTTAGTAACAAAACACCACTGTGTGCTGTTTGGAGAGGCAGAGCGGTTATGCTGTGGCTTTGTTTGGAACAATTTTCATTAGCAAAATAAAGCAAAAACAGACAATATCCTCAATATTGGGTCCAAAATGTAAATCACTTAACATTAACTTCGTATTTGTTTAATCACTGTATAAAATCAATATAAAATAGTTGGTAAAAAATGCAGGTGCTTGTGTGATATTGCTTAGCTATATCATATGATATAAATATATAAACAAAAAAACAAGAACTCATACAGGGTAATTTTTGACCCCATATCCTGAATTTTGGAGGCATTTTGTATTAATTTTGGTGGCATTTTTGCCCAAAGTCCTCGTTAATTTATGAAAATGTCACAATGTCACAATTCAACAAATCATAACTATAGTTTTGCTTAATGCAAAAATATAATTGCTTATTTTTCTGATGAGTTTGGTTTGTAAAATGTGTTGAACTATCATAAAAACCATGTCACAATTCAACAAATCATAACTATAGTTTTGCTTAATGCAAAAATATAATTGCTTATTTTTCTGATGAGTTTGGTTTGAACCTATTCACTCATTAACTTACAGTTTTACAACCATATGCACCATGTTTCTACAAATCATCAAGATTGAGGTTTTTTCACTGACCTGATAGCTTGTTGATCTGTCAGGTCGTAGTTTTTTCAGACAGAAGCCAAAGCAGGAGAAGGCAATACAGCACAAGAGAGTTATGAAAGTGAACAGAGTGATGGGCTGCACTGGACCTGCACAAGAGATAAACCATGAGGTTTTGCTTTTATATGGGACAGAGCTGGAGACCTGATCTCTGTGGTTTTGGTCTTAAAATCTCTCAAGACCACAGAAACATGGCCTTAGTCTGGGTCTGGGTCTCATTACTAGTCTCTTGGTTTGGGTCTGGTTCTGAAAATTTACTTTTTAAAATATACTTACACAAGACCACAGTCTTGACTGCAATTTCTAAACAAAAAACTGAAATGACCTCAGGCAAAGGTCAGCAAAGTATCTTCACCATTACAGAGATTTTGCAAGGATTTTCATGGCTCTCAGTAGCTACTGTCAGAGTGGCTTAGTATTTGAAATTTATGCTGCAATAATTTCCACATTTTTTTTCCATTCCAGTTCCATTAAAATGGACAGACTGAATCTGAGTATTGGGGCTTAGATATGGTCTGGATCTAGGCCTTGAGTGATCTAGTCTTGTTCCGAGTTGGGGTCTTAAGGGGTGAACACATGTTTTATAGTAAAACATGAATACATCCTAATGTCGGCATTAGAGCATTTGTTGTTCATCCATAGGTTACACAGTCATTCTAGTAATGTTTTAATTGGCTATTTTATTTTTTCTAATCTGAGAGGAAAGCCTTTTGTACCTTTAAGGTACCAGTATGCATCCTTTAGGTACAAAGGTACCACCCCTATGACAGCTTTTGCACCTTTTTTATTTTGAGAGTGCAGTATTGTTTTTTTGTTTTTTTTACGTGGTTTGGTTATATTTTTAACAACGACAAACATTTAATGCAAGTACAGTATAACCTGATACTTTCATCATTTTATAGAAAATAACTAATTTGACTAACTGAAAATATGCACATGGTCCAGGCATACTCAAGACTGAACTGAAACTCACAGGCCTGAGAATGAAGAAATAGTTTGTTAGTGTTTCTAAGCTACGTGTCCACCAAAGCGTTTTTTCCAGAGTCTAGCATATTTTTTTTCAATGGGAGTGCCATGTTTTTTAAAAAGCCAGGAGCGTATTTTTTCTTGGCGCCGAGAGCTGAAGAATGTTCAACTTTGGGTAAAAGGCAGTGCTCATCACTGTCACATTTTAGTCAGCTAACCAATCACAGTGAAGGAGGGGCGGGGCAAATACCAGTCCAAATACCAAGTTAATATTGCTTGTATCAGAGTATTCGTGTCTTCACAAGCTTCACCTTTACAGTCACTTTCCCATTGAGAATGGGCAACAAATTTCTATTTGGATACTTTAGATTGGCCGTGGGCCCTGTTTCTCACCTGGTTACCCGCTGACGGCAACATTGCTCAGCAATATTGCTCAAAAAGTTGCCACGTGTATCATCACCTTAAAGGTATAGTTCACCCAAAAATGAAAATTACCCCATGATTTACTCACCCTCAAGCCATCCTAGCTGTATATGACGTTCTTCTTTAAGACAAATCTAATCGGAGTTATATTTAAAAATGTCCTGGCTCTTCCAAGCTTTATAATGGCAGTGAATGGCTGTTATTTTTCAATAGTCCAAAAGAAGTCCAATAAAGCACATCCATCCACCATAAAAGGTGTCCCACACGGCTCCGGGGGTTGAATAAAGGCCTCCTGTAGCAAATAGACGCGTTTTCATAAGAAAAAAAATCCATATTTAAAATTTTATGAATTTTATTTCACAATAGAACGCCGTTCCGGCTGATGATGTAGGTATAGTGTAAAGTCCGGTGAGAATATGCTAGTCTCGCGAGAACCAATGTTTGTTAACAGGAGCAAAGGAAGCAAAGTTTCCTTACTTTAGCAAAGGAAAACCAGTCTCCTCTTGACTTATATCGAGATCCTCAGACATTTTTCTTTATAAATCTTCATTTTGTGCTTCTAATTCATGACCAGTGTTTTGTTTTGCTCTCTCCGCTGCGCTTCCCCATTCGTCAATTCTCACCGGACCTTACGCTATGTTCTACGTCATCCACCGGAACGGCGTTTTATTGTGAACGCACATACGACAGTTAGCGGAAGCTAGAGACTGTTTATAAAGTTTTAAATATGGATATTTTTCTTACAAAAATGCACTGATTCGCTACAGGAGGCCTTTATTGACCCCCCCGGAGCCATGTGGGACATTTTTATGGTGGATGGATGTGCTTTATTTGAAATTTTTTTGGACTATTGAAAGATAACACCAATTCACTGCCATTATAAAGCTTGGAAGAGCCACGACATTTTTTAATATAACTCAGATTGGATTTGTTTCAAAGATAAAGTCATATACAGCTAGGATGGCTTGAGGGTGAGTAAATTATGGGGTAATTTTCATTTTCGGGTGAACTATCCCTTTAACAGTGTATGCGTTTGGAAAGACACGAATGTGAATAAATAATCAAAGAATTATCCTTTTCTTGGGGAAAATATATACAGTATATATACATATATATTTTTTTTTTTATTTATACAATTTTTTTTTGTCAAATCTGTTGGGCATGTGCCCCATAAATTTGATTAGGCATGATGTTCCTGTGTGAACCTACCCAGTCTGAGCACAGAGAAGAACAGCAGCCAGAACATGCAGAGAATGGGCGCCACTGCCACTTGACTGATGGCGGCTGAATGGATCTGCTGGCTGAGCTTTGTGGGTAAATAGGCGTAGTAGATATTATAGCGATCTACCATATGCTTCAGCACAAGGTACAGCAACCCTGCAAAATGAACAGAGCAGAAGTTATCAAATAATCTTTGATCTTTCTAAATTACACTGTAATTTTTAAAAGTGCTTTTCAGATGGCCCAGTTGCAATGCTTTGCTGGTAAAGTTATTTTGTATGAAGTGTTCCTGTCCTTCTTTGCTACTGCTCAGGTATAATATTTATATATTTACCTGTTTACTTAGACCACATGTGAGTGCAAGTTGCCAAATGAATTCAGAACTAAGTGAAAAATCATGATGATGGATGTCAGCCTATAGTAAATAAACAGTCATGGTGTGTATTGGTGACAGAACATGAGTGGAGTGGGCGTCTGGATCTCGGCTAGACGGGTCGGAGCGTCTGGAAGACTACAGCGGGTTCGCACCTAGTGGCCATGTCACACCGTGATACTGCGATGCTGTTGGAGATACAGCTCAGACGCCCACGCACTGACTGAGGATGGGAACGAGGTATTAGAACACGCACGGAGGTAGAAATCAAGACTGACGGGAAGAAAGAAAGAGAGCTGTGGGTAAAATGGAACAGAGAAAATGAGAGGGGGGAAAAATGACACAAATGGTGCAGTGGAGACGATAGACAAATGGATTTGAGTGCAAACTTGGGGGGAGGGTAATTACGGAGAGAAAAAAGAAGTACTAAAAGAAAAGCCCGTTTGTTGTAAAATAAAAAACGTGAAACTACACAGACTCACCAAAAGGTACAATGATGGGGCAGATGATGCTGTAGGTCATACTGACTGAAAATATGCACATTGTCCAGGCATACTCAAGACCAAACTGAAACTCATAGGCCTGACTCTGAGGATGAGAATGGAGAAACAGGCTGTTAGTGTTTTTTTGTTGCCATTTCTTAACAATCACTATGAACTGTCGTTGTATGGAAAAGAGCAGTGCGAAGATTCTTCAAACAGTCTCCTTTAGTGTTCCACAGAAAAAACTAACAGTGTATGCATCTGGAATGACATGAATGTGAATAATCAAAGAATTATCCTTTTCTTGGGGAAACTATCCCATTAGGGACTTTGGACAATTACGATCAATATCAGCTTAATTATATATTTATATACACTGCTATTCAAATTTTCTTTTAAAGTTTTTAAAATTAATACCTTTATTCATCAAGGATGCATTTAATAAAGAAGTATTAATTAATTTAATTAATCATTAATTGACCGGGGGGGGGGGGGGGGGGGGGAGGTCA